ACCCCATACCCCATCCTCACCACAATCTATTGCCCCAGGTCATTATTCCCTACTTCACCCAAACTTCCTCCCAGATCCCATACCCCAATCCCTTACCCTAAACTCCCTTCCGCACCCAACCTCCATCCGAGACCCCCGCACCTCTTCTATTGATATAATGGAAGAGTGTGGCCCTCGACCTCTTACCAAATTCTTGAAGTGGCCCCCCATCAAGAGGCCCCGCCCCTGCATTAATGGCTTAAGGTAAGAAAGTAAAAGATTCTTTTAACAGAGTTTTTAGAGTGTTGCAGATATATAAAACTCCAATCTTAATGATTTTTTTAAAATCCAGTGTTACTAATTACTACATGGTAAACTGTATTGCATTAAGGCCAGATCTTTTCTATCTGGTAGAGTTCTGGCTCTTATGAGTCAGAAGTAGCAAGTACCAGGTGTGATGCTAGCTGCTTTCTAGGATGAAACCTTATTGGAAAGATCTTTGAAACATGCATCTGTCTGTTAGAAAGGATGATGATACATGTACTCCAAGGTTTCAGAGGGATAGTCGTGTTAGTTAGTCTGTAACTAAAAAAACCTTAAAAGACAACAATGGTCCTGTAGCACCTTAGGGTAACAAAAATATATAGATAGTATCATGAGCTTTCGTGGGCACAACCCACTTCTTTAGTCAAGGGCAGTGTTAATTTTCTTTTTATTGGACTTCACATTAAGTATTCAAGCATTGCTCCTTGTTAATTATCTCTTCTTTTAATATATTTTCTTCCACACCAATGAACTATTTAAAATATATATTTATATCTATGGTTTTTATTTGTATTGGGGGGTGCACATCCAGACACTACCCCAATATTGGTGTTGCACGTAAGACATTTCAACCTGCCCAAAAGAAAATTAAACACGCCCAAGGATGGAAAATCTTAGAGGGACCAATGCTTACTATCCATAATAAAGATAAAGATCGCATCTGAAATTTTTTTTCCTGAACCCCCTCTTCTGGCCTTTAAGTAACCCCCCAACCTTTCCAAGTTCATCATCAGAAGTAAGCGCCCCATAAAACAGGACATGCCAACACCAGACACTGCCAAACTCTGCCAGAACAACAAATGCAAAACCTGTAGACATATCTCCAATATTACAATGATCAACATCCCCATTACACTTTCATAATTTGTGCATTTTACACGTCTATCACAAGTGAGGTACCTCATCCAAAGCATTACATGCCTCAGTCATAAGTATGTAGGTGAAACAAAACTATGCTCTTGAATGAACTCACATAGAAAAATTATAAAAGACAAAAGCATTTCACCTATGGGTAAACACTTTGGACAAAGTGATGACTCTATATCTAACCTCTGAGTCATCATCCTCAATGGAAATCTGCACAACATCTTCAAAAGACAACCTTGGGAGCTTATATTCATAACTTTGCTAAGTACTAATAATCATGGACTGAATTAAGACACTGGATTTATAGTTTATTATAACAATCTATTGCCAACTTAATCCCCCCCTCCAAACTTCTTTCCCTTCCTTTATTCCACCATGCCTGGAGAGATGTTAGTTGGCCATTTCACCTTCAGTGTTTCCTTGAAGTATGCTAAGAAAAACCTTAAAAACAACTATATTTGTCTTCTGAAGAAGTGAGTTGTGTCCACAAAAACTCATGACACTATCTATATTTTTGTTAGTCTCTAAGGGTATGTCTACACTACCACCCTAAAAATTATAAAAGACAAAAGCATTTCACCTATGGGTAAACACTTTGGACAAAGTGATGACTCTATATCTAACCTCTGAGTCATCATCCTCAATGGAAATCTGCACAACATCTTCAAAAGACAACCTTGGGAGCTTATATTCATAACTTTGCTAAGTACTAATAATCATGGACTGAATTAAGACACTGGATTTATAGTTTATTATAACAATCTATTGCCAACTTAATCCCCCCCTCCAAACTTCTTTCCCTTCCTTTATTCCACCATGCCTGGAGAGATGTTAGTTGGCCATTTCACCTTCAGTGTTTCCTTGAAGTATGCTAAGAAAAACCTTAAAAACAACTATATTTGTCTTCTGAAGAAGTGAGTTGTGTCCACAAAAACTCATGACACTATCTATATTTTTGTTAGTCTCTAAGGGTATGTCTACACTACCACCCTAGTTCGAACTAGGGTGGTTAATGTAGGCAACCGAAGTTGCAAATGAAGCCCGGGATTTGAATTTCCCGGGCTTCATTTGCATCTTGCCGGGCACCACCATTTTTAAATGTC